AATAATAATTGTGGTTGTTATATCTTCCTCTCCCAAACCCCCCACCTTTTTTTTGTTTTTTGTTTTTTTTTTTAGCTCCCACCAATAAGTGAGAACATGTGGTATTTCTTTTTCTCTGCCTGACTTGTTTCACTCAGTATTATTCTTTCAAGGTCCATCCATGTTGTTGCAAATGGCAGTATTTCATTTGTTTTTATAGCTGAGTAGTATTCCATTGTGTAGATATACCACATTTTCCGTATCCACTCATCTGATGATGGACATTTGGGCTGATTCCTGCTCTTGGCTATTGTGAAGAGTGCTGCAATGAACATTGGGAAACAGGTATACCTTCGACTTGATGTTTTCCATTCCTTTGGGTATATTCCCATTAGTGGGATAGCTGGATCGTATGGTAGATCTATGTTCAGCTGTTTGAGGAACCTCCAAACCATTTTCCATAGGGGTTGCACCATTTTGCATTCCCACCAACAATGTATGAGAGTTCCTTTTTCTCCGCAACCACGCCAGCATTTATCTTTCAGCGTCTTTTGGATTTTCAAAACCACACTGAGATACCATCTCACCCCAGTTAGTATGGCCAACAGTAGTTTTTTAACAAGCATATTGGTTCTTAGACTAAGGGGGTTTTATTTTTATCTGTGATCTTTGGAGTCAGAAGAAGATGGATTCAAATTTCAGTCCTACCTTTTACTAGGTGTGTGGGCTTGGACAAGCCTCATCTCTCCCATCAGTTTCCTCCTCTACAAGATGGGCGAGATCTAGTGAAGTTTCAATGAGTCAATGGGAAGTTGTCTGACACAGAGCTTAGCATATAATAATTACTCAGTAAATGAAAGTGTCATTCATTCATCCATCCATTCAAAAGTTAGTCTTCCACTGTAACTTTTTTCCCTTACTATCCTTCATTTTTTTTGAGCATCCTAGTGAAAGTATGCATGATAATCAGCCACAAGTTATAATTCAAAGTTGTTTATTATTTATTATCAACTTAAATCATTCTTGTACTTTCAGTGCCCTGATCTATTGATAGTATAATCTGTCTCCAATTTAAAAATACACAATTTCCAAATGAATGACTACTTCCCAGCTTCACTGCTATTAGAGAATGCCAGTATATTGATCCCGAGCATCAATTTCCTCAGACACACAGCCTCTCTCAGTAACTCGGAAAATCACTACCCACTCCCACCGCCCATCTCAAATTCTCTATTTTGCTTTAGGACTTAAGTTTTCCTGCAAGACAGCTGCAGGGTATTTGTAAAACAAATCTTTGGGGCAAAAAGTCCTGAGGATTGAAATGAGCTATAGGTTCTGGACACAGAAAAGTTATGTTAATTGTCTAGTACATGACACATAGAAAATGCTTAAAAAATGAATGCTGAATAGAATTGAGTTCAGAGTGAAATGTTCAGAATTCCAGAGGGAGTCAGGCATTGAGGATTCAGGATAGTCTTAGGACCGTCACTGCTACCTATCACTTCAAATCAACTCTCTGAGCTGACTTGAGAGCCTGACAATTCATAACATTATTTCTAGGAGAGGAGTTCCAATATTTGACTTAAAAAAATGACTTTTTAGACCATGACTTAAGTACAACTTTGGGGCTACCTGATTTCGTGAATGTGGATAAAATTTCTCTTTGTTATGTGGATATGTGACCAAATAGAAATATCTCTTCATGAGTAAAAAAATAATGCATGTTTTCAAAGTGAACAACACCTTTTTTTTTTCTCTATTACAGTTATGTTGGAATTCCCTTTGACGTCACATTGGTGGGCTGCTTTAGGTATATTGGAATTACTCCAGTTTAGATTCTCTAATGCATAAAACAGTGTTAAGTAGAAAAACTTTTGGAAATGGATTTCATTGTCTTAGACATAGATTTTATTATGTTATAATATATTTCTAAGATAATAATAATGATGATGTTGTCAAGACAAGTTTTACTGAAGATGGACTCCACTGGTTGTCTCTTCTGGTCCAAATATACTCTCAGGACAGTCCCAATTTAATCCACATGAGAGACGCTGCTACCTTAACATGTACTTGGGACCAAAAGTAGATTGGTAAATAGACATATAAGAAATATACTTCTCTGTACCAACCAGCCACCAAGTTAAAAAAATATAGACATATATCTTTGCGCTTTTTGTATAAAATTTGAATTTGTGAAGGAATGACATACATTTTATTTTATATATTGAGCAATAATGGAGGAGCTGGAAGTGAGTTAAAACCAAAAAACTCTATATTGTGGCAAAGTTTTTATTAAGCCATAGATTTCCTTAGCTTTCCTTCAAGTCTGATCTATACCAGTTTTTTCTCCATTTCTTCCCCTGTCATTTTTCCCTCATGGCAGGAAGTAAGGACTGAGCTACCACGAGTAGGGAGACTAGAGCAGATCTAACTTTCTTAAAAAAGTGTTTTAGGGACCTAATTGCACTTTGACTGGAACTCACATGTAGACTCTGATCATATGCACACAGGTGCATCAAATGTCCCACTGTACAAGTGAGTCGTCGGGGTAGAGCCAGAAATAGTATGAAGTACAGGTACAAGAATGTCATTCTCGGGCCGGCCCGGTGGCGCACTGCTACAGTGCGCCGCTTGGGAGTGTGGCGGTGCTCCCGCCGAGGGTTCGGATCCCACGTATAGACCGGTTCCCGCTCACTGGCTGAGTGAGGTGCGGGTGCAGCACCGAGGTTTGCGATCCCGTTGCCGGTCCCGGTCCGGTACGGGTGCGACACTGAGGGTTGCGATCCGTTGCCGGACACGAAAAAAGACAAAAAGGAAAAAAAAAAAAAAAAAAAAAAAAAA